GAGGACATGGCAATTATTCAAGCATTCCGACCTCCAACACGCCCGCTAGGGCCCGGAGGGCGTAGTAAGCTAAACCCGAAACCGTTTAGGCTTTAGGGTTTAGGGTTTAAGGTTTAGGGTTTAGGGTTTGAGGTTTACGGCTTCGGCTGTCGGGCTTGGGGCACAGAGTGTGGGGCCGAAGGCGAACCGAGAGGCTACCCAAAAATAGTTGCAAAAACCTCACAAAGACAATTTAAACACCCAAACCCTGAATCCAGGATTTGTCCCTGAACCGCTTTCAAACGTTTAGGGTCTAAGAGTTTAGGGCTTAGGGGGTTTATGGCTTCGGGGTTTAGGGTCTGGAGCATAGCATTCCTCACAAGGGGACTTGGGCGTTACAGTAGAGCTTGAGGGCCTGGCATCTAGGCTTACTCGGGATCCTGAGCTGCTCCTCTAAGGGCCCAAGTGCCTAATGCCTTTAGGGTTTAGGGTTCTGGTCACATGATCCCCGAAAAACACACAAACCCGAGTAGCTGCTGGCCTAAGCCCCCGCACTCAATTACTAGGTCCTTTTTCGGACCCTGCAAGCAGGCGTAAACCCTGGTGAAACACAACCCAAACAAAACCTAGAACCCTTCACAACTCCCACCAGAACCCTTTCGAGGCCCCATGGCAGTCCCTTCTGTCTAGTAATCCGCATAAAACTGTGGAAACCCCATACTTGGAGGTTCATGGGTAGTTATAAGTGGAGCTATAAGTCCCCTAATCTGGGTTATAATTACAGTTACCCTACTTACAACCCCACTTATAACTACCCATGAACCTCCAAGTAGACCCCTTTGTCTGACCCTCCCATCCTTCCTTCAGCGACCCTTATAAGGGCTTCGGCCTGTGGGAAGATTCCGAACTGCAAGAGCTCCTGCCACCGGGGTTTCGGCTTTCAGGGTTTGGGGGTTTATATCGGGTTTAGGGGTTTTAGGGTTTAGGGTTTCGGGCTCTCAGGTTTTGGGGGTTTATAGGGGTTTAGGGTTTAAGGGTTTAGGGTTTTAGGGTTTAGGGTTTCGGGCTTTCAGGGTTTCGGGGTTTATAGGGGTTTAGGGTTTTAGGGTTTAGGGTTTCGGCTTTCAGGGTTTGGGGGTTTATAGGGGTTTGGGGTGTGTGTAGGGTTTTATAGGGCTTTGGGGCTTAGGGGATAAGGTTCATGGTTACAGTTCCTGCGACCGGGGTTTCAGGTTTCAGGGTTTGGGGTTTCTTGGAGAGGGTTTAGGGTTCAGGGCTTCAGGTCACTGTAAGGGTGCTATATAGAGAGTTCCTTTAAGGACAGCTGGACTGATGTCGAGTCCGCTGTCGCCCTGCACCAGCGTGGCCAGCGGCCATGTGGCCAGCGTCGCAGGGTTTGGCAGTGGTGAGGTGGCGACAGATTCCACTCAAATGGCCAGGCCGCGAAGTGCATTTGCAGGTGCTCCAGCCAGTTGCCGCTGACGCCGGATTTATGCCCATGGCCTTGAGACACGCGAGACGTGATATGCTGGGTCAGGGGACGGCAGCGGCGCGGTGATGCTCGTCGTCCTGCAGCATGCTAGAGGTCCAGGTTCATGTGACTATAAACCATTTGCATGACTCTGTGCTGGTCTCAGAGGCTCTTATATGTCAACACTGTGGCCATCTCTAGCACGCCATTGGCAGAGACCCTTTATGGCATGCTTCGACATGTAGGGTTTTTTGGCAACCTAAGGATTGAAACATCTGATGCTTGGTTTGCCCGGCGCTGCATCCACCAACCGCGGATATCTAAACCCTAAACCCTAACTGGTTTGGGCTTCCCACTTCTTGCCCTTCTCTCCACGACATTGTTCAACTTTCGTGTCTTGCTTCAACAACTGCTAAAGATCTATCCCCTTCGTCGTGCATACTCACAAACATTCATCCCCATAAGGCCAAAGAGCCAAATCCTAAATCCAAGCTCCAAAACTCGAGGTACTGCACCCTAAACTAGCCGGAAACCCTAAGTGCTAAACCCTATTAACCCTGAGGGCCCTTACCAAGCCTAAGGCGCTAAACCCATCACAGTGAACGCTAAAAGCTCAAGTGTTGAATCTAACCTGAACGCTTTTTAAAGCCATGCGGACAGGACATTTAAACAACATCTATTGAACTCGACATACTGGCATGACAACTTTAAAAGATACAGTAAGAGTTCTTATAAAGCTGTATGTCACCCATAGTTTATGAAGCTCGTACTACTCTACTCCCTACAAAAACAATTACCACCCATAAAGGTGAAACCTGTTACAAAGCTCCTGTTTCTTGGTCTTGGTAAGCCCTCAACTCTAAACCCCAATCCCAAGCCCACACCCCACCCCCTAAATCCTGAATCCTAAAACCCGAACACCAACCCCCAAAACTGTAAACCCTAAACGCCAAAACCCCAAACCCCGAAGCCGAAAACCTCAACAAAACAAGCCCGGCTCCTGCAGTTCGGGCTTCAGAGCCTGCGAGTTCCGAAGGCATTGACTTGAGGGATTTGGGTTTAGGGCTTAGGGTTTAGGGGTTTAGGGATTTAGGGTTTAGGGCTTAGGGTTTAGGGGTTTACGGATTTAGGGTTTAGGGATTAGGGTTTAGGGATTAGGGTTTAGGGTTTAAGGGTTTAGGGCTTAGGGACGTTTTAAGGTTGTGGGCTCTGAGCTTCAGCTTTGGGGCATTCCAGAGTTTGGGGCTGCAGGCTGGTTCTGAGCTTTTTAAGGCTGCAGCGTTTAAGGTTCCAAGTGTTTTAGGTTCGGATTTCGGTAAGATTTGTGGGGGTTTGTTTCTGGTTTAATGGTGGCTTTATTGGGGGGGCGGCGGGGCGCAGAAGGGTTTCTGGTTTCTTACGGTAACTGGCTGTTCGCGGTCCTACGTCCCTTCCGACTACCATGATTGCAAATGGATGTGTTTGCGGCTTCCGGCCCAGCCCAAAAGCTCAAACCGGAACCTCCCCAAGCCGCTTTGCAAAAACCAGATAGAGTGGCTGGGTGTATATGAAGGATTTGCCAGAAAAAAACCTTGCAAACCCCACATAAACTACGCTCAACCCTAAACCCCAAAATCGAAACTCCAAACCCCAAACCCTATACTCTAACCCGTGCCCAACCTCGTATGCGCCATCCCGGCGGCAGGCGGCTGCCAGGCAAAGCCTCGTAGAACTCGTATGTTCAGGGTGTACGGTATTTAAGAACTTTCATCGTGTCATGGTGTGCTTCTGAGTGTTGTGCCGCACTATGGTTTCTTCGGGGTTTAGGGTTTAAGGTCAGGTCTAGACACCGACACCACACTTTCAGGTTCGTGGCCTCAGAACACGCAGCCGGGAGTAGTTGAATCGTTACGTTCAGAATCTGCCGGCCTCAAGCTGGGTCCGCTGTTAGCTTCTTAAAACCTCATCGTCTGGGCACCTGGCATACTAAGGCTCGTGGACCTCTTTGGTGCCCATGATCCTGCGACGATTTTTCTGGGTTCTTAGTCTTTAGGGTTTTAGAGATCACGGTTTAGGTTTTCAGGTTTACCGTACAGTCGGGATAGATTTATCAGAGAAGCTGTTCTTGCTTTTTAGGAGGAAGCTTCAACGTAGGGGACTCAACTTGCGTTTGCCTGGCGCCCTAACCAGGTAGAGCCAAGAGTCGATCGGGTGGTTCAGGGTACACCCTAGTACGCTTTGATACAGGCGCCTGGATTACCGAGAATGTGGGACATGTCATAGTAGTAAATGCGGACCCTTGCCCCAGACCAGCCCTGAACCTTCAAACCTTAAAGCCCCAAACCCTAAACTAAACCCTGAACCCTAAACCTTAAAGCCCCAAACCCTAAACTAAACCCTGAACCCTGAACCCTAAACCCTAAACCTTAAAGCCCCAAACCCAAAGCCCCGAACCCTAAACCCTAAACCTTAAAGCCCCAAACCCAAAGCCCCAAACCCTAAACCCGGCCCATTTTTCGCTCCGGCCCTGGCTTCTCTTGCTCTCACTCGGTCCGTTTCGGCATTGCTGAGACAGAACAATCAATCACAACAAGAGACATGCGGGACTATCTAGGGTTTAGGGTGTCGGGTTCAGGGTTTAGGGTTTAGGGGGGGACCCTCCTTGTACCCTCAGATAGCGGTATATGGTACCAAATAATGGGCACTTAGGGTCTAATAGAGGGTAGATGGAGGGTCTAGGATACGGGACTATCCAACCGCGGTTTCGGGCTTCGAGTTTAAATGATTTAAGGTGGTAGATTGCCAACCAGGGAAACCTCTTTGACATGCACCTGAAATTCAGGCCGAACAAAACGGGGAAAGCTGAGGCAAGCCAGAAAAAACACAAAGAGCTCGGACGCACTCAGGAAAATCGTTCGCAACAAGAAACACAATACAAAACCCGAAACACGCAAGGTACCAAAAAGAAACAAACAAAACCCAGTAAACAGGCCGCCCAAGAGAAAACAGAATTCCTTCCTGTTCATTTCTGGGCCTACAGGTCTCCAGCCCTGTGTGAGTTCTGACCCACAAGAAGCGCAAGTCTTGTGATGTAGTTGAATCGAAGTTTAGGGTTTAGGGTTTAGGGTTCTTAGCGCGTTGTAAAGGGTTATCGGGCTTTGCAAGGTTGTATGGGGACGTCCAGGCACCTCACCTGAGCTCATTGGGACTAAGGTTAAGGCTTCAGGCTCTCTGCGTTTTGGCTTTACCGTGAAAGATCACAGGACTGAGAGGTTCGGCCTATGTGCCGAGTTTTATGTACCCCAAACAGAAGGCGTTCCATATCCTTAAGCTCTTTTCGTCAACTGATTCCTAAGTACCCCGAGCTTCTCTGAGCCCCAAACCCAACATCCGCCGAACCCCTGAAGCAGGCCCAGAGAGCCCAATACCCCTTAATTAAGGTATATTCCTTAATTAAGGGGTATTGGGCTCTCTGGGTGTCAAAAACAGCAAAGGCACCAAACTCGAGTTTCTCTCGCTAAGTTAAGGTTGCGGGTGCAGGAGGGTGCCATCATATGGGAGTTTCCGAAAATAAGGGGTACCTTATTCTGGGGTCCTTATAGTAAGGATCCTATTATTTAGGGTGCTATATTAGGGTCCCCTATTCTCGGAAACCCCCATATCAAGCCCTCATGTCCTCGGTGTTGTGCGCAGACCTCGTGGACACAACGCCGAGTAATTGGCACCTGTTCGGACTTCGGCTATCGACGGAATCTGAAACCGTCCCAGCCGCGAGGCATGGACCACTCTTTGATCTACTTGGAGGTTTATGGGTAGTTATAAGCGGGGTTATATATAGTAGGGGAACTGTAGTTATAACCCGTATTAGGGGACTTATAACTCCACTTAAAACTACCCATGAACCTCCAAGTATGGGTTTGATTTGAAGCTTTGTGCTGCTATCGCTGCCCTCGCCGTAGAACCGTGAAGAACCTGAGTCCAGAATCCTCCAAAAAGATGCACAAATCGTCAGGAACCTAGAACCCTAACCCCTAAGCTTGTAAAATACAAGTCCTGTGAAATCACGGATCCCAACAACATGTCCAGACAACGAAAGAATAAAGCGATAAGCCAAAAGCGCTAGAGCGAAGGAGTTTTCAAGAAAAATGATTGAATGTGCTAGCCGCAGAACCCCGACTGTTGCATGTGTCCTCGCCGCTCCATCAAGAGGCTTATGCGCCTGCCCGGCCTGCCCTGCCCTGTGTGAAGCGCACCACCACCACCACAACCACTTGCCTTGCACTGCCCTGCCCTGCACCACCCTGCCCGCCAGCTGGAGCGGCCACACGCCCTCCCCTCCGCAGTCGCTTTCGCAGTACTTTTGCGTGAGGCAGACGACCGCAAGGGATTGCATTTGAAAACCCTGATCCCCAAATTCAACCGACAGCCTACACCCAGACACTCGCCAGAACTAAACCCTAAATTAGAGA